CGCCGCCGCCCCCCCCCGCCTGCCTCGGCTGCCGCAGCTGGGGAGCTCCGTGGGCAGCGTGGGTGCCTTTGCTTGGCAAAGCCAGGCCCTAGTCTTTTTATGTCATTCAGAAATCATAGAATCATTTGGTTGGAAAAGACCGTTAAGATCATAGAGTCCAACCTTACCTGCCCGCTACTAAACCGCGTCCCTAAGCCTCTGAAGGCGAGTTTGATACGCACCCGCCTGTACATAATAACCCAACGGGAAATGCGCTTCTCAAGGTTAAGCGTGCAAAAAGCAGCAAGTGGTATCGGTGTCATTTAAAGATTCTTGGGACATCTCCTTTTTAAGTTCCCTTTCCTTAATATCTACCTTACGTAAGAAGCCACAGACAGACAAGCGAGCCGACTGTTCCATGAAACAGCACAACGGTGAGGCAACTTCTGCCAGAGCCTAGCGAAGAGGGACTGACCGCTGTCCTGAGACGTAGGAAAAGCACAGATGTTAATAACGTATTTCTTACCCACCCTGCTGCCAGTGGTGCCACTGACCCACTGAGAACGCCCCAGTCCCGGTGCTCTGTGGTTCCCTGGGCTGTACCCGAGCGCAGTCAGACCAGCCGCTGAGCCCTGCCCTCCATGTCGAAGTGACAGGCTGGTGGCACCTACCGTAGCCCTGCACCATAGGCAGATGTCCCCTCTTGTGGTGCCGCCCGACGGCACGCAAGCACACAGAAAAGCTGCAGTAGTTTACCAAATACTAGAAGTAATTTTTAGCTTCCAAATGTCAGTGATAAGCCAGGAAAACAAAGTGGAGGAAATGGAATTTTTTTACTCGCTGGTTCGCTTCCGTCCGCAATACATTCCCCAAAATGGAGCTGTGAAGCGTTTCAAGCTGCACTGATTGCGGCCAGGCTCACTGCAGTGCCAGGGACACGGGGAAAAGGCAGGTGACTCCAGTAAATGACAGTGAGACTGGACAAACTGGAGTCACCAGATGTTTTAAATCACCCCCCTCCCCCCCCCCCCCCTTTTTTTTTTTTATAAAAAAAAATCACTATTGCAAAAGGGTCCAAGAAATACTCTTACATAAATGCTGTCCTGTAAGGTTGCCAGGGTGTCTTAGGCCTCTTGAAATCTACCCAAATCATTCGTCTCTCTCTTGCAAATCTTGCTGGTTAAGCAGCGGGGAGGCTGGCAGTGCTCCTAAGCACGTCAGCAGATCCTGGACAGGTAAAACTTGGGAGCTTCAGACGAACGCAAGCGGTACCGGGGTTGTGCTCCACCCTCGGACGCCGACCGAGAGCGCTCCCAGCTGTGCTAGCGCGGGGGGGACCAAGCTCCCTGATCTGAGCTCAGCCAGACACCTACGGTACTAGGCCAGGCTAAGTGCTCTGGGGACATTTAAACTTTCACATATTTATCATTTGTTGTTACCAATATTTTTTGCATGTCTTAAATGTAAATCTGTTGTCTGTAATGAAAATAATTCAAAGCTTTCGTGCTCTAAAAATCTAAAAATGGAAACTTGACAGGTAACTTGCTACAGACAGATTTTATCTGAATAACGCTTTAAATTGTCTGGGCCACAACGGGAGTAAAAAAAAAAAAAACACCAAACCAAAAGAAGCGAGAGTTTGATGGCATTGCCTAAGAAAGAAATACCAGGTCCGGAAAAAAGACTGACATTTCTATCTTTGCGCTGCTGTTTTACAAATACCTGTTTGAACCGTACAGTTATGTGGAAGGCGTGCCCAGCCCCGTGGGTGCTGCCAATGAAGGGACGCTGTTACGGCAGCAAGTTTGCAGAAAATTTGTCCTGGCATAAAATCTGTTTCCCTCTATTAAAAAAAGGATCTCCTCTAGAGGGCAGCGTTAAATCAGTATTCAATGACCAGGAAACCGAAGCTCTAACACTCCTTTATAACGCATACTGAATTCACAGGCTAACGAGGCACAGCTATACTGACCATTACGATAAAGCTGGAAATTCCTGGCATCGTAATGTTTTAATTAAGCTGTGCATCACAAACGGGTGAGATCTGTCATTCTGGCCCGAGTCTGCTGTGTTTGGCTGGTTGCAACACCACGTGCTACGTACAAAAAAGTCACCGCTCCCTTCCGAGCCGCGGGCTGGCGGGACGGCAGGCTGAAACCTTTGCTGGTGTGAGCCAGTTCAGCGCTACTCCAGCCAGCGCAGCTCCGGGCTCTGCTCAGCCGCGGCGGCCGAAGCGGGACAGGGAGCTTGCACGTGGCGGGAGGAGAAGCCAGCATCGGGCGAGTACGCGGCTTTCTGGCCTGCAAGCCCCGGGCACCACAACCGGGGGCTGCTGTAACCGTCTTAAAACCACGGGTAACGCCCCGTGTCGTTCTCCGTGGTTACTTTTTACTGCTGCATAGGATGGTCTCGAGCTGCTGAAACCTTGCTTGTGTTTTGCTGGTTTGCTTAAAGATTTCTAATGCTGAATTTATGAAGTTGCAGAAGACAAAAGCTCACCTAAATATTTTAGCTATTGGTTTCCTGAAAACAAAACACATCAGAAAGTCTCTGACCACTAGAAGAAACATTCTTATTTTTAAATACACAGGCGAAAAATCCATACGGGAAGAAATCCATCACCATTATATATACAGCAAGCGTTAGAAGCCACGTGTACAAGAAAGGCAGCTCCCCCATGTCTGGATTTTTTTCTTTTAAAATCCTAAAATCCCAGTGCATTAAAGCTTGGAAACGGTTTAAATCTGGAGTCAGACCGGGTTTTCTCTGCCGCCTGTTTCATAAAGCAGAGAAGTATTCCCAAACTTGCTGGCCAAGCCCAGGATTCGGCTGCAAAGCCCTAATTCATCTCACCTGCCCCCACCAGCACAGGCCAAATCCCCGGGCTCACGCTCTGGCGAGGGGCCTCTCCAGCTGCCAGCAACGCTTTCAGCGCCAACGGGAGTGACAGGCATGGGGGCTGTTCGGCCACGCTCCCTTCCCAAAGTCCATTCCCCCCAGAAGCTTTAGGGAGTGCTCCCCACGCTCCGTCTGCGGCATCACCGCTCCCGGAGCACCAGGGGCCAGGACCGACGCCACCGCCGTGAGCAGCAGCCAGTTTTTCAGCCACAAAACCCCGCAGGGCAGGGCTACCTGGCCCCAAGACGTGGCAAAAAAAACTTTTTTGGGGGTTTCAAGTGAGGTCTTGTGCCCTTAGGACTGAGTTTGGGAAGTTTGCTTCCCATACAGTATGTTAGAGGATGGTGGTGGTAACGGGAAAGCCGGTCGTTAGCTACAGCATTAATTAGAACAAGCCTTAGCGCAAGCTGCTGGTCCTCTGCTCCTGGGCAGCGCCAGGCGTGGTTACCCCAGCGTAACGGAATTCACCACGCTTTCACGGTCAGGTAAATTAGACTCAGGAATTTGGGGTTTTAAACTAGAAAACAAAGATATAACTTTGGCTGGGCTTCAGATTCCCCCAACATCAGTAACTTCAGTGCATTACCCAGAATGTCTGTTGATGAATCCAGGAAGCCAACATTCCCAATATTTTAGTGATCAAGAGAAATCAATTGCTTAGCCTCAGACTGACCTACATTTCGTAAGCATTAGCAGCCTCCCCGCCCGTCATCCGCATCGCTGCCGACAGCCATGGTGCCATTTCGCTGCCTCTCTGAATGCCTGGAAAACAATCCCGTGTTCTCCCAAACCAGGAAAGGAGCGTGTGGTGAGGCTGAGCTAAATACCGAGTTCTGGGCAAGGCTGCCAGGGCTACCTAAAAGGAAAATTTATCTTCCTGAGCTATTTGCAAACTCAAAAGTATTGGAAAAGACCCACATAAACATTTTCATATGGAAACAGAAAATAAGCAACTGATCTGGCATGAATTTGCTGAGCAAAGCACATCTTTTTTTAACTCTTCCCAATCAGATCACGACCGCTCTGAAACGATTTAGCATTTAACGGCCCACTGATCTAAACGTGCGTGGGTACAGAGCACCTGGAAGTCCGAACAGATTTCCTCTTAGACGCTGTGCAATCGACACCAAAGCCAACAGTTCCTCTTGAGTCCGTCCATCTGCGTGGTAGGATGGATAGGGAACACAGTTCAGAATACGAAGGCCAAATGCAGGGATGGCAGGGGAGGACCGGGAGGGACTTCACGTGCCGGTCACAACGGCGACCCCCCCTGCCACAGCCGTGCCCGGGGCTCTGTACCTCAGTACCTCGCTCTGTTCCCGGGAGCTCGGCTGTCCGCAGGTCTCGGCTGCTTTGGCAACAGAAAGGGTTGGTAAAGCAGAGGTACCAGCAGCAGGGCCTCGGGGATGCGCCGGTTAGTTCCTCGCAGCCAAAGCAGCAGTAGGTGCCGTAGCAGCAGGACCCCTGCCCGCCAGCTTTTCTAATGGCAACGAGAGCGGCAGAACCCCGCGGCGCTCCTGCGGGCAGGCTGCCGAGCCGTGCGCGGGCAGTAAATCGGCCGTCCCGAACACCCCAGGCTGGCTGCGGGCGTGGGACCTCCCTTGTGGGCTGGACTGACCGTACTCGGGACGCAGAGAGGGCGTTTGCCTGGGCATTTCCAAAAATGATCACTAAAAAGGTTTGGCAGCTGAGGCGGCAGCGCTGGTGGGTACAGATGCCAGCCATGGTCCTGGGTGAGGAAGAGAATGCCAGCCTTCCTCCTCGGCTGGCACGCAAAGGCTGTCAGTGGTCAGGCTGTGCCTTGGGGACGGGGAGGAACAACCCCGGCTGAGCGGTTTGGTCGGCTCCAGACGAGCTCTCTTCCTCCGCTACGAGCAAATGTCTTGGGTTCTGTGGCAGCAGAGGCTCTGTTGGGAGGGGGAAGGCTGCCGTGCAGAGCGATCAGAGCAATAGGTAAAGCACTCTTCTGGTATTCTGTATCAATGTTTTGCAGGCCTGGCAGTGGTCACAGTTGATGCCTACAAGCACTGGATATTCCACAAGTTGAAGACGGAATACTGACTTGTTTACCTGAAGATAATAGGACTTCGGGGTATTTCCTCAGAGAAAATATAAATTTTAATATAATTTCATAAGCTTTGGAGGTTAGCTTGTCTTGTAGCTTCAGTGATATCAAACTTCTTCAAGTAGGAGCTAGATAGAAAGCTGTTTAGTTTTTGCCAGCGTATGTAAAACAAGACTTTTCTATCTGCATTGTAGATTGTTTGTGGACACTTCCAGATTCTTGTGCTTTCTGCAGTCATTCTGGGGACTGAGCTCTCATTGATAACGTAGAGGCTCCCTGAACAGGACACGTGCAGGATTTTGAGTGTAGAAGCCCACAGCGTGGTTTGGAGTAGTGAGTTGCTTTTAGTTTGGAGATGACTGGGGGAGATGGGAAGAGCAACTGTACATTAAGGGAACAATTACAGATCTTCTTCCCGGTGACATCAATGAGAGATTTGCCTTCAACCTTCCACAGAAGAAGATTTTTAGCTTTAATTTGGGACAGTAAAGGGGTTTTTCAAAAGCGCTAAAAGCCAGTGGGAGCTTCTTCAACTGCTCCGTATGCCTTTAAAGACCCCTACACCAAAAGTGATAGCTAACAACATGAAATGGAAGTAAATAAAATGCATTTTCGTTGCTGTTTTGACTTACATAATTCTTGTTTCTTGATTTATTAGTTGAATTTACAGTGATGTAATCTATATGGTGGCCAAGAGAACGGTCAGTAACTGGTGAAGGTGCAAGTATAGCCGCAAAGCAAGCAACGCGTAGGTGTCGCTCCCGAGCGGCTAACAGGGCCGGTAACTAACGTTGGCTGCGGACGGCCATTACAAGGCTTTCCGGGCCCACAGCCCCCGAGCTGGGTGGCCGTTCCAGCGTTTACCAGCAGACGACAAACGCTCCCCAGCCCACGCTGAGCGCAAGGGCAGTGGGAGCTTGCAGACATCGGCCAAGCGTCACCCTGCCTGCGGGGCGCGCCGAGCACGCCGCCGCCGTTCCTCAGGATATCGGAGCAGGAGCTCCCTTAGCGCTAGGGCAGCTCCAGCAGGGCGATGGCCCCCGCCGGCCGCGACCCTCGCTCGAGTCCTCTCCGGCAGGGCAGTAGCTGCCCTAAGAAATGCAGCGGAGCAAGGATCTAACGCAGAGCTCGGATCTACTCAGTACACCAGAAATTACTCCCTCCCGTGTTCTCTAAGATCAAAGCCACCAAGAGCCCTTAGGTCATCTGGTTTGATGTCGTGGTCAGGCTCTTAATTTCACCTAAGACTCCTACACAGAGCCTAGCAACTTGCATTGGGCTAAAGTATTTCCTCCAGAAATGATCTGTTCAATCAAAAAGGCATTAAAGTGATGGGGATTACATCACTGGTCTGGTTAGGATTAACCAGTCGCACCATTAAAAATCCATGGCTTGCTTTATTTGATTTTGTGTAGCTGCAGCTCCCACCCGTTGGATGATATTTGTACATCTTTTTCTGTTCAATTTAAGAACTTGTTAATACAGAGCATCTCCTCCCTGTAAAGGAATCTGATTGCCTCTTGATCTTCATTGTACGCTGAACAGACTTGGCTGTAAGCCATTTTTTCCTCCCTGAAATAATTGTTTTATGGCTTTTTACTGCAAAATCTCTCTTTTTCTGTCAACGTCTTGAAAAATGTGAACAGTGGAATAGTTTGCAAATTTTTAATTGATCTCAATGCCATATGCAGATACCAAAATCATAATCCTCCTGTCATTACCCTGCTCTGCATGGGATGTGCCTGAGATGAGATAATTTAAAGAAAGAGACCCAAAAAGGGGAGAGAAGAGGACAAGGGCAGCATGCAGAGTTACGGAGTTTACAATTAAAACCGTGTAAACCGTGAAAAATCGAATGCAACCGGACCCTACAAACCAAGACAATGAAATACTCCAACCTCCCGCGTTTTGGGCGCCCCAGCAGCCACACTGTGCGCTCTGTTGTTTAGGAAAAGGCTTCAGCAGAGCCCTCCCTGGCCTGCAGCCCCCGCGCCGAAAGCATCGCTAGGGGCTGCGTCCTGAAATTCCGCAGCGGAGGTTTCTTGGGGAGCTTGGGTTCCGCAGTAACAAAGCGCTTGCACATCATCAGCCACAGGCCCCAGGACAGGACCCGGGGGTGCTTCCTCTGGAGAAAACAAAGCTTTTCTTGATACTGGTGGGAATAACCGCAGGTTTAGCCCAAGAATTGCCATGGCCATCAAACCATCAAACTGGAGCTTGGCTTTCTTTGCTCTGCAGGTTGCGAGTCCTCCCCTCGGCCGGCCGGGCGGTACACGGCAGCTTCTTCCGTTTCTAGGGCTGCATCCTTTTTTTCTTCTTTTCACCCTTTTAAGGTGCATGCACAAAGCAAATACAGAGCTGAGAGCCGGACCAGGACAGGGAGCCCTCCCTCCTCCATGCGATGAGGCCCAGCAGGCACCGCGCGGGCTCAGCACTGTTAGCTCACACAGCAACGCCAGCGCTGAACGCTGTTCCTTCCCGGCTACCGTCATCGGTACCTCGATCGAATCCTGGTGTTATCGTGTGCATTTCATGGGTTTGGGAGCTTTACAATATTTCCAAAGTCCACAAATGACAGAATCCAGTATAAAAAAAGGTCAATATATTACTGTTCAAAGTTTTTTTTCCTTTTTTTATACAAAAGTTAAGACGATCAAAATATATCACATTATTTACATACTGTGCTTCATGCTTAGAGATCACTGAAAAAGAACACACAGACAAACGTTTTAATCAAAGAATGATGCTCCATTCGTTACGCTCACTAATCTTGTTAATATTGTAAGGATTGCCATTCAGATTTCTTTTACATATTAACAGTACGTCCAAACGACTTTAATTAAAAACACTCTCATGCTAAGGGCATGCTCACGTTCTAACCCAGGGTTTGCAGCCAGTTAGCAGCTTGCTACCGACTCGAACTGCATCCACGCACCACGTGTTTGAACCAGGGTCAGTGATTCCCCTCGGCTGCAGTGCCGGACCCGCGTCGGAGCAGGAGGTTACCGCATCCTCCTGCAAGTCTGGCTCAGTCCGGCTCAAAGGCCCGGCCGGGCACACCTCGCTCCTCGCCCTCCTGGCACCGCTGCCTTTGGCCCTCGCAGCCCCGGCTGCGCTGGGTGCGCGGGACAGCACGAGTGCCTGCGCACGCCCTCCCGACTGTCCGAGTTGAGCCCCGGAGCAGCGCGGTGGGTGTGCATTAGAACTGCCGTGGCAGAAAAGCCTGTGTTTGGGAATGAAGGCTTTGGAGCTCGGCGACAAAGAAGTAACCCACGGTAAAAGTCTCGGCTGCTTGGTCTGAGCCGCACGAGCGCGTTTTGCAGGGGGCTGCGGTCTTTGCACCAGTGGTTCCAAAACTGCCGGGGCTGTAATAGAAGCCTGGCCTGAGCAAGCCGGGAAAAGGGGCATTGCTACCGACACCATCAAGGATTTTTCACGCTTAGCAAGTTTTTGGAGCGGTGTTCCTAGCACCAGCCTACAGCCGTGGGGAAGAAGACACGACCCTAGATGGAATCCTGCGCTCCCAAGGCACGGCGTTTGTCTGCCAGGCACATAACCTCTTGCTTAAAGGAAGCGCAGAGCACAGTCACCATGCAGCCAACAAAACCACTCAGGACCTGCTCAAGAACTCACAATTGTAATTATTACTGTACCTTATGCCAACATCCTGCTACTGGCAGTCCGTCTGGTCCCTGCAAAATTGAATTGACAGATTTAATTGCTGGAGACGGTGACTTAAGCGTCACACCCAAAAAACCTGAAGCTCAGTTTTCACAGCGATAAA